AGGACCCCCCCAAAGCCCCCCAGACCCCACCTTGCCCTGGAAGGTGCAGAGCAGGCCGTTCTTGAGGCAGAAGGAGTGGAAGAGGTTGAGCAGGTCCAGGTTGGGCAGCTGCCCGTTGAGCCCCTCCACGGCCACGTCCACGCTGGTCAGCACGTCCGAGCTGAGCTCCAGGGCCAGCGCCGCCTGGATGGCCCCCGCCCGGCCCGGGACCCCCCCCGAGTGCATCTCTGGGGGGGGGACACCCGTGAGACCCCCCTGAGACCCCCTGAGACCCCCCAGGGCACCCCCAGAATGGACACGGGACCCCAGACCCCACCTTGCCCTGGAAGGTGCAGAGCAGGCCGTTCTTGAGGCAGAAGGAGTGGAAGAGGTTGAGCAGGTCCAGGTTGGGCAGCTGCCCGTTGAGCCCCTCCACGGCCACGTCCACGCTGGTCAGCACGTCCGAGCTGAGCTCCAGGGCCAGCGCCGCCTGGATGGCCCCCGCCCGGCCCGGGACCCCCCCCGAGTGCATCTCTGGGGGGGGGACACCCGTGAGACCCCCCTGAGACCCCCTGAGACCCCCCAGGGCACCCCCAGAATGGACACGGGACCTCCAGAGCCACAGGACACCCATGGTACCCCCGTGTCCACTCTGGTCACTGTGTCCATGCCCAGGGTCACCTGGATGGCCCCGCCCGGCCCGGGACCCCCCCCGAGTGCATCTCTGGGGGGGGACAGACCCTGTCAGACCCCCTGAGACCCCCCAGGGCACCCCCAGAACAGCCACGTCACCCCCAGAATGGACACGGGACCCCCAGAGCCACAGGACCCCCGTGTCCACTCTGGTCAGTGTGTCCTGGATGGCCCCGCCCGGCCCGGGACCCCCCCCGAGTGCATCTCTGGGGGGGGGACACCCGTGAGACCCCCTGAGACCCCCTGAGACCCCCCAGGGCACCCCGAGAATGGCCACGGGACCCCCAGAACGGCCACGGGACCCCCAGAGCCACAGACCCCCGTGTCCACTCTGGTCAGTGTGTCCTGGATGGCCCCGCCCGGCCCGGGACCCCCCCCGAGTGCATCTCTGGGGGGGACAGACCCTGTCAGACCCCCCGAGACGCCCCAGGGCACCCCCAGAATGGACACGGGACCCCCAGAATGGACACGGGACCCCCAGAGCCACAGGACACCCATGGTACCCCCGTGTCCACTCTGGTCAGTGTGTCCTGGATGGCCCCCGCCCGGCCCGGGACCCCCCCCGAGTGCATCTCCCAGTAAGGCTGACACCGTGTCCCCCAGCCCCTCCCAGTCCCTCCCAGTGCTCCCAGTCCCTCCCAGTGCTCCCAGTAAGGCTCACACCGTGTCCCCCAGTCCCTCCCAGTGCTCCCAGTCTCACCAGTAAGGTTGACATCGTGGTACCCAGTCCCTCCCAGTCCCTCCCAGTGCTCCCAGTCCCTCCCAGTGCTCCCAGTCCCTCCCAGTCTGACCAGTAAGGCTCACACCGTGTCCCCCAGCCCCTCCCAGTCCCTCCCAGTGCTCCCAGTAAGGCTGACACCGTGTCCCCCAGCCCCTCCCAGTCCCTCCCAGTGCTCCCAGTCCCTCCCAGTGCTCCCAGTAAGGCTCACACCGTGTCCCCCAGTCCCTCCCAGTCTCACCAGTAAGGCTCACACCGTGTCCCCCAGCCCCTCCCAGTGCTCCCAGTGCTCCCAGTCTCACCAGTAAGGTTGACATCGTGGTACCCAGTCCCTCCCAGTCCCTCCCAGTGCTCCCAGTCTCACCAGTAAGGTTGACATCGTGGTAGGCCTCCAGCCAGGCCTGTGTCCCCAGCAGGTCGTGCTCGGTCACCAGGAAGATCAGGTCCTTGGCCCAGTACACCTGCCCTGGGGACCAGTATAAACCAGTATGGACCAGTATAAACCAGTATGGACCAGTATGGACCAGTACAGCCCCAGTACAGCCCCAGGAAGATCAGGTCCTTGGCCCAGTACACCTGCCCTGGGGACCAGTACGCACC